TATATATTCGTCTAGGGATCTCACTTGAGCATTGAAGTCTCCAGCGACTACCACGATGTCCGTTGACCGAGCACTTTGGAGCAGTTGAGAGATCCTTGTAAAATTCATCCTTCATTTCTGGCGAACTACAATCAGTCGGTGCATACGCGGATACGACGAATAAGCGGAAGTGAATCAATCGAGCACCGTTATCTGTTTGCTTGAAGAGCAGAATACAACGCCCGTCTAGAGAAGCTTTCGAAGAACCCAAGGTGATAATTGAATTTGAGCCTTGAGTGTGTTTCGGAGACACTGTTTGAGTCTAAATTGCAAATGTCAATTGTTTTAGCTAGGGCAGACCTTCTGTGTTCGAATACCACTGTTTACGATGCATTGCACAGACAATGCCGAGGTTATGTTTAAAGTTATAGGTAACCGCGGCTATCGAGTGGTGCAAGTGGTCGACCTCCATAGATTATGCCGACTGCAACAGGTGTTGCGCAAACCACGGCACGTGCTGTTTACCGGTGCAGGTGATGGGTGGAAAGAAGTAGAGTGGTCAGACTAGGACCCGGCATGAGGGTATGAAAACTCACACCAGGAACCTGCTCTTATAGGTTGCCTAAGGCTTTCTGGTTGGGCATATCGNTGTTTGAAGATAAAGTAATATGACTGAAAGTGACACCATCAGTCTACACGAACTCTGTTTTTACTCTGATTAGAACCTTATCTTCCTTTAAACTTCTCCATCGAAATGGGCTCTCAGGAGACAGAAACCAAAACTGGCACAGGAAAACGCGTGGTTATTGGTAGAAAAATTTAACTCTGAACAAGGTTCCGAGGCGCATTAGAATCACACGCGAGCAGAACTGNTTCCAAACGATTTCGGTGTATTTGTTGTAGAACTCGTCTTTTTCTGCGTCGATGAATATACTGAAATGATGAATAAACACTTTTTAGTGGTGCTTTCCTTCCGGATGTTGATTGACTTCTGAAGTCGCATCGCACATATGCTACCGATGACGGGAATCCAATCGATTGGTGACGCTTCGGCTTTCTACTTCTGAGTGAGCTTTGCCATCACCTGATGCATGCGGGAAATGCCCCGAGGATAGATTGGAGGCATTTAAGTGGCAATAGGATTCTCGATTTGAGTGTCCGGTGTGCAACAGAGGTTATTCCTGAAGAGTCCATTGTACGCACCAGACATGCTTGTCGACTCACTTGCAGCAGAGTCCACAAGTCGAAGGCCTCTAGATTCAGTGATTGACAAGTCTTCGGAATCTGCAACGTATTTTGTGCTTAAATACTTACAGTGCAACGAGCTTTGGCCAATGACAATCAAGTTATCTGATGGAATCTTACGGGTTGGAAGAGACAAAAGGAGAGGGTTGGGTCTAATAGACAACGAGTTAAACAAGGGTCGGGATGTCTGAACGATATCCTACTTATCACTACCCACTCCGTTTGATGCAATGGGTGTACAGTCCTGATTATCCTGAGCGACGACCGATGCAGTATGGATTTACAGTTTGTGTATGTATAGGAATTTGACGGACGGGTACTGCTAAGTTACAGTTACTAGGGTTCTTGTCCAAAACCTACAGTTCCGACAAGAACTCAATCGAAAGGTAGTGGGTGAAGCGGAGTGGAGTACCATTTACTTCAATCATTTACTCCAACATTTTCCTCGACTGAGACCGCCGCCCTAGTCGAACTCCAATCGGGAGACGGGACTTTGTTTGACCTCGACTCTTCGACCTTCCATGCATGATTAGATATTCGGTTTGACAAAAGTCGTCCTGTGTAGCTCGCTGGGTAACAGAGAGATGTTATTATTATTGTACTTTACCTTTGTCTGAGGCCAGACTGTGTGCCAAACAGAGGTGTAGAAGCCACCACACCACGTCCATTTGCAGTTTCATCGTGACGAAATTTCTTTCGGCCTCATTCAAAACAGCCCCAATCCCTGTCCACCTTACCCATTCCCACTATGTTGTACTGTGGGTTTGAAAGCGATCTTTGTAANGGACGTGTAAACCACGCTCAGCGGACGTATGATCTTCTGGACCGAACTCCGATCCAGAAATACGCTGCGGAGTTCACAGTGACACGCTACTTTGTCTCAGGCTTTGATTAGAAGGCTCTGGTTGTGAATCCCCAAGAAATTTATCCGTTTTGGAACGGGAAACCTGGCCGTGGTCTGCTAAGCAACAAATTGTGGAATGATTTTTACGTTAAAAACATACAATATAGACTAGCATGTTTTGGTTGAATTGCCTCAAGCCCGTATAATCACATTTATACGATACAGTTCAACTAGGNGGAGCAGAAAAGCAGACGAGTTATGTGGATACAAATTAGTCCAAAAGACTCCCGATTGGTCAAGTTTGGATTGCGCATTCAAAATCATGACACGCCAGCGTCATGTGTACAAGCAATTTCCTCTTACATTGGTTAGGGAATAAATCCTAATTGCATGTGCAATTCAAGCTCCATGAAACGGATGCTAATCGCCTCTGCAACCGCCAACGTCGTGAATCGTATAGCACTGGAGCAGTTTGGTGAAATTTGATAAAGGATGCGAAGTGCATTTCAAATGAGTGTCCCGTTTTCATCAAACGACCAACAGTTGAACTCGACAAAAGCCCACTTCCACCGTGTATGAGCTAGCGTGGATTGTTCTTTGAGGTGTTGGGATAACTGCCCCGTCTTTCGATCATCGCAATATAAACACTCACTTGGAGCTTTTTCGAACTCATTACCAAGCGCATGACTCATATTCAATTTTATTAGACCCTCCTCAATTCGTTTCATATGAATGTGATTGTACAGGCTCAAGAATGAATTCACCGAGGACCTGTTTGCCTACACTGGGTGTTCTTAATTATTGGGAGTATATTCCACGATTTCTGAGTTACGAAGATATTGCACTAGGATTTGTTCAGCACTATCTGGATCGAGACTAGTGTTTAATACATAATAAACGTATCACAATGATATAGAATGATCAAAAATATTATGTCTGTGATCTACAGTGGCTAATGGTTTCCGGATTCGAGGTTGCAAAAACAGTCATGAATAATGGTTTACATTTTGTACTTGTTTTCTAACAGTATCCCTGCTGAGGCAAAAAGTGCAACCTTGGGCAAAGCATGGAACACAAAACGGGGTTATCTGATGCGTAGTGACTGTGGTAATCAAGGTAATTGAAGACCACTGTATTAGACATACGAAGAAATTATCGAAAAAACGAGCTTCTTCATTATTCGTGTTGTTCTGTATGTCATGATGGGAATCTTCGACAAAAATAAGATCTTTGGGGTTCACAAGTGATTCACTTACTTACCTAGATGCTTCTGAATTGCCTCCAAAATCAAATCAGAACCAACACCTCCGAGCATGCATGGTGTTGTTGTGCATAGCTGCACGTGGTATTTCCCAACCGGCTCTCTAAGGTGAAAACGAGAAAGAATTGTGTTCGAAATCTCAAACATAA